CTCACAGAAGATCGAGAACACTTCATAGAACCAACAGAAGAAATTAAAATCACACAGGTGGATACAGAAAACATAAATATAAATGAAATAGAAAAAGCTCTTAGGAATATGAAAAGTGGCAAGGCCTCAGGACCAGGAAACATTCCCATTGAACTGGTAAAACACGGACCAATCATACTATTGGAAGTTTTGGCAGAACTTTTTAACAGATGTCTCATACGAGGAGATGATATTCCTACAGACTGGAACATATCATATATTAGTTCCATCCATAAGAAAGGAGATAGGAAGGTGTGTGAAAATTACAGAGGTATCATTGTCACCAGTGCAATGGGGAGGTTGTATGGTAGAATTCTGAAAACGAGAATTGAAATAGAATGCCAAGAACTAGAGGAGCAAAGTGGTTTTCGCCCAGGATGATCGTGCTTAGATAATATTTTTACCTCACAACAAGTTATTGAAAAGAGAATAGCTCGAAATTTATCCACCCATCTGATTTTTATCGACATTCAAAAAACATACGATACGGTACCCTTAACAAAACTTTTCAAAACTCTGACGAAAATCGGCCTAAACAAAGTATACATCCACGCAATCCATAACATTTATAAAAACGCAACCAGCGCCGTAAAAATTGGTAAAAATATATCAGCACCCTTCAATATCTCGAAAGGCCTTAAACAGGGTTGTTGCTTGTCGCCTACTTTGTTTAAAATTTATATCAAGGAAGCTCTGGATGTATGGAGACGTAAATGCTCAGGAATGGGGATACAGATTGGTAATCATTGCTTGACAACCTTGTTGTTCGCCGATGATCAGGTTATAATTGCTAATGATGAGGAAGATATTGACTATATGCTCAGAAAATTGAAAGAGGAGTACGCAAAATGGGGATTGAAAATGAACATGACAAAAACAGAACATCAAAAAATGGCAGACGATGGACAAGTAGACCGGAGCTTAGAACTCAGCAATATAAAACTATGCGAAGAATACAAATATTTAGGAACTATAATATCTCAAGAAGGAACATCAAACAGGGACATTCAACATAGAACACAACAAGGGCAGAAATGTATCCGAATACTAAATTCAGTCCTTTGGTCGAATAAAATAAAATTAAAAATTAAAATGACAATCTACAAATCGATAGTAGACCCTATTTTATCGTACGGGTCAGAATTCTGGCAATTGACTGAAAAAAAACAGAAAAAGAGTGGATGTGGTAGAAATAGATTTCTTGAAAAGAGCGTGTCAGATATCAAGAATAGAACATATTCGAAATGAAGATATAAGTAGAAAGACAGGAAAGGTATTCACAACTATAGTCAACATAGAAACAAGACAACTTGTCTGATATGGACATGTGATGAGAGCTGGGGAAGACCGATGGCCAAAAAGAGCTATGAATATGCCCCTAGAAATCGAAGGAGAAGAGGAAGACCAGTGATATCATGGGAAGAAGGAATTAGAAAAACAATGCAATACGGAAATAAATTGAAGTTTTGTGATTACAGTGATATATAATTTATATGGTTTTGTAACAAATTGCTCGCTATTTTATGGCAAATGCTGAAGCTCTGTAAACCTTAATCAAAGCAAGTGTGTCTGGAATTTTGGGTGTGACTTAACACCCATGTTCATCTGAAGATATGTACTTCATCTGAAGATATGTTCATGTTCATCTGAAGATATGTACTTCTTGTGCACACCCTTGTATTCTAACTGTAGCATTTGTAGAAAAAGTTAAAAATTTAAATATTCACAAAAATTTTACTAATTAATTGTATTTCTTGTAAATATTTCGTAAAACATTTTGGGGATTGTGTAGAGGCTGTTTAAGATATACTTTCTCACTATAAAATACTGGATTTGGCTTTCTATTTGTGGATTTTTCCCCAAAAATATATCACATCGACTTTATCGGCTTTCCGTAAGTAAAAAAAGAGAGGGAGAAAAATAAAATATTTTCCTGTCCGAACAGTTTAGACTGATACAAACGCAGTTCTATCGAACGATTATTATTTATATATATGTTAGCCCGCCGTTTGGTCCAATTTCTCATTTTTATCAGGAACAGGTTCCGACAGTGGCAATTTGTTTAGATTTTTATATTTATTGTTCGGTTTGTTTTTCTGGCATTTTTTGTTCACTCCATTTAGAAGGATTATTGAAGTTTGAGTAACAGTACATAGAAATTTTGATTAAATATAAAAATATAGTAGTATTACAACACAATAAATGCCGTATGTTAAAAAATAGCTATGTACAGGGTGGGTCAAATTCGACGCTTTTAAATGGAAACACCCTTTTCTATAGGAGATAGACGAAAACTAATATCGGTGTCTGGAGCTCAATTTTTGTCAAAAACATTATGGTGAAAACCGCATATCGATATCTGTTACCGTTTCGGAGTTAAGGGGTGTTTTTCAAAAATATGCATTTTTAACAAATCTCTGTAACTTTTTTGCTATAAAAATTTTTGTATTTTTATGAAAACATTTCCAAAGCACCTTTTTACGTAGAATTTAATGGTTTAAGTATATTTTTTTAAAAATTAATAATTTAAGAATTATCACCAGAAGATTTTTTATATGGGACACCCTGTATATTTTTAATTTATTGAAAAGAATTTTCAAAAATATAACACACTTGATATTTTGCTCGATTCCTCTTCGAGATATAGAGTATATAAAAATTCGCCCGATTTAAATAAGTAGGCTTTGAACGGCACCGGCTGTAATACAAAAACATTCTAGCTGTGAGCATCAATTAAAACGAAAATAATATTTGCAATGAGAGATACAGAATTTTATAACAATTTAAAATATCTTTAACCAACATCAACACATTTAAACTATATCTAATAACAATAAAAATAAATAGCAAACCAAGACATGAGATTTTGCTACAGGTGTTCGACATATCAACCGTCTTCTGTTATGGACAGACGCGGCAGTTTTTGAACATTTCTCGCGGAATTCATTAACTCAGTGGGGGTGAAAAATACCTTCTCATAACTGCTAAGTATTTATAATTCTTGTCTAAATTATACCGAAAAATAAGGAACATTTATTCTTCTGCAAATATATCAATATGATTTGATCCATGGGCACTAAGTCAGGCGACCTCCACGGCCAACGGCTGGGATCTTGGTTAGCTATTCAATTATTCATGAAATTGGCTGCAAAAATTTGCTGATAACTTTAGCGTCAGAGGCGGTGCGTCGTCTTGCTGGAAAAATATGTTTTCGAGTTCCATTAAGGGCATATCATCAATAAGGGGTCCAAAGCCTACTAGTTAAAAGTGGCGAACTTTTAAAAATGCTGTATTTCGAAGGGGATTATAACAAAATATCAAGTGTGCTATATTTTTGGAAAGGTAATTTTAAATTCTTTTTTGTTAATTAAAAATATAGAGGGTGTCCCAAATAAAAAATCAATTTTTCTGTTGATAACTCTTAAATTATTAATTTTAAAAAAAATTATACTTAAACCATTAAATTCTACGTAAAAAGGTGCTTTGGAAATTTTTTCATAGAAATACAAAATTTTCCATAGCAGAAAAGTTACAGCGATTTGTTAAAAATGCATATTTTTGAAAAACACCCCGTAACTCCGAAACGGTAACAGATATCGATGTGCGGTTTTCACCATCATGTTTTTGGTGAAAATTTAGCTCAGACACCGATATTAGTTTTCGTCTATCTCCTATAGAAAAGGGTGTTTCCATTTAAAAGCGTCGAATTTGACCCACCCTGTACAGGAACATCTTTTTAAGTATCTCACTCAATTTACGTTTCCTATTTAAAGTTAGTAGAAAGATTTTTTAATGTCATTTTTAGCGAGAGTACCGATTTTCTCTTAAATTTTTTTAAACGTAAATTTTGAGAGATAAGACGCCATCTTGTTTTTTTAAATAGAAACCCCCATATATTTTAACATCGTTCGGTAGACAATTTTTAATAATTTCAAAATTATATAGTTTAGTATACTTTGCACTTACCGTTTTCAATATACGCCTCCAATACAAAGCCTCTTTTATCATTTTTTAGGAGCTAAAAGTTCCTTCGTTATAATTTTTGCAGTATTAAAGTCTACTTTATGAGCTGTGTTCCATGAATATTAATCTATTCTAGGATAAAGAAAATTCAAAATAATTTTTCTGTTCTTTAATTTGATCATTTAAAAATTTAGATGTTTTCTTAATAAGAATTACTCACGTTCGCATAATAATTTAGAGGTGGGAATTCTAGTTTCTTGGGGGGAACTACTTCCTTAGTTCTAGTTCCAGAGGAATAGTGCTTTGAACTAGGTCTTTACAATAGTTACCGACTAACATAGGTAAGTTTTATTGCAGGTAAAAAAATAAAAAAGAAACTCTAATCAGAGTTTAAAAAACGCAAATCAATTGGAGCAAATAATACGAAAATTTTACGAAAAATTGCATTTTTTTTCACCTCAAGCTTTTTGTTTTTGTTTAAAAATTTAGAATATCTACTTCGTTTTATAAGATATTTCTTAATTTTAGAGACCTAAAGTGAAACATTCCTATAAAATATTCAAAGAACTAAAAATCAAAAACAGTATCCACGACAATTTTCTGTAGTAATTACGCCAGCTGTGGCAACAGATATGGCGGAATCCATCATCGTCGCCTTGGATTATAGTAGTCATGGGGTCACTTGAAACAGACAGCCACTTCCGGTCCAGACACCGAATTCCAGGAACCCAATCAGATAAGGACATATAAAATACGTTAATAAATAAGGATAAACAGGTTTGGGCCGCGATGAACCGCTTTAAAACAGAAATAAACAGGTTTGAACAAAAAATGAACCGGTCTGTTATTTTAAACTAAAAACTGTTCAAAGCAGTTCAAAAGCGGTTTACCGCGGCTCAAACCTGTTTATCCTTATTTATTAACGTATTTTACATGTTCTTATCTGATTGGGCTCCTGGAATTCGGTGTCTAGACCGGAAGTGGCTGTCTGTCTCTAGTGACCCCATGACTACTTATTATATCTGGGATTTGCCACCTGGATATATTCCCGTGAACTAGTCTTTTAATAAGTTCCTCTCAGTCCTTTCGGTCCGGGACCGGTAACATACGGCTCGCACTCTCCACTCCCGCCTAGCATCGCGCTAGTCGATCCGTACGTAAACTAGTCTTTTATTTAGTTCCTCTAGGTCCGGATCCGATAATATACGGCTGGCACTTCCCACTCCTGCCTAGCATTAGGCTCCGATCGCGCTGACCGATTCGTCGCCGTCGCATATTATTTGGTCACAGTCTTGATCCCGGAATAGGTCCTGAGGAACTAGTTCTTTGAGAAACCGGGAACTAGTCCCTTTCATTCCGGGGTCGGAATAGTTCATTGGAACTAGTTCATTTCTATAATAATTTATATATCATTTCTTTTGTTTAGTTTTGTGTGAGTAAAAAGGAACATATTTATAAGAAATACACTCTCCACAAACATTAATACTATAACTAAAAATATTTTTTTAAAGAAATGCGTCTCATGTCGTGATACATTATGCACAGAAAATTTTATTAATCAGCATAAATTTATATAACTACAAATACAAAAACAGACCCGTTTGAATTATGACATGATAATATTATCCAACAAAGTGCGATAACTCCTCCTGAGACACGTTTAGCAGAAGACGCCTTTTCCATCACATAAACTTTGCAAACAACTGCTTCGATCCTCGGCCCATTACATGTCTCTTTCCGAACAAAGCCCCGCAATAACACGTTCCTCTATCGCCACGAATCCAAACAAAGGAGACTCATTACACCGTGACGCTCTCCCCGTATCCGACTCTCGGAATAACATTTTGCCAATTGGGTCATGAAACTTAATCAGATAGATTTTATCGGGCCGGAGTTCCGCTCTTTTCTATCTCGGTTCCTTGTGTTGTTTGTTACTTTATCTTCAAACTTTCAAAAAGATTGAGAGAAGTTCAAATGTGTGTGGACAGTATTGAGGTCTTAGCCGTCGGTTACATTAGATGCAAATATGGTACAATTTAAAAAAAAATATTACCTGAATACATCAAAAATGTATTGGGGTAATAAAATACCCCACGCGATATGACGTCCAAATAATTTTTTCTTAGGAATCATTAAAACTGCCATACCTATCTACAACAAAGTAGATAAACCTTTTAATTATCTCAATAATCAATTTTTTAAGGTGAAAAATTAATAAATATGATTTATTGTATTGGAGCAGCTGAAAATATTTTTTTAGCAAAAAGAATTTATCATCAAGAAGA